AAATGTCAATATTACCAATGTTACCAAAAGCTTTTTATAAATTCAGTGTAATTCAGATCCAAATCCCCGCACAATTCTTCAGGGAAACGGAAAAGCTAATCACGAACTTTATATGGAAAGGAAAGAAATTCAGGAAAAACAAAAACACCATTAAAAAAAAACCCAAACCACAAAGAGGCCTTTTCCGCCCAGATTAAAAAATCTGTTATATAGATGTGGTAATCAAAACATCTTGGTATTGGTCTAACGATAGACATGTAGATCAATGGATAAGACCTGAGAGCCCAGAAATACAACCCAGTACCTACAGTCTTGATGAAGGATGTGGTAATCAAAACATCTTGGTACTGGTATAACGATAGACATGTAGATCAATGGATAAGACCTGAGAGCCCAGAAATGCCACCCAGTACCTACAGTCTTGATGAAAGACTACAGCGCATTAAACAACATTACATAAGGAAGAGAGAGACTTTCAATAATTAGTGCTGGAAAAACTGGACCTCCACCTGCAAAATAATGAAACAGAATAAACCTTGTGATGTGGTAATAAACTCTCCCTGAATCAAGGTCTTCAAAAGGTCAATGCGAGTTGCTGGTAACTCAAGCGAGACCAGCTAGGATTGAATAACTTGGGAAGTTAATGAAAGATAAACATTTTGTTGATTATATTCGCACAACAATGAAAGAAAGAGGGAAGAGAAACAGGCCTTTGCTATATCCCCCAGAGTTGAGATGGATGCAGCCCTGGGGCGGCAGTTGACCTGGATACGGCCAATCTCCTTGTCTTTGAGGGCAGCAATCTTTAGGTTAGCTGAGAGGCACCTGTCCAGCTTGCTAACTTTCCCCCTAAAATTACCTCTCCCTCCCCTGACGTGGGGCATAGTCCTGGGGCATTCACAGTTGGTGGCACTCCCTATATATGAATTTAAGTCAAAAAAGCATCGCTTAAAAAAAAAACCATTGCTACAAAATCATAGAAACCCTTCTTAAACAAAAAATATCAAACTGTGAAGCTATTGTTTTTCAACATGTTCTCCATCTAGATTTATGCACACTTGAAGGTGGTATTTCCATATCTCTAGCCCTTCTCTTAAGACTTAAAAGAGAAAAAAAAAAGAGTGCTCTTTGATTAACACTACCTCCAACATTGGTTTGGACATCCTCGGAGGATGCAAGCCTTGTTCCTTTTACATGTTCTCTGATAGTTCAGAACAAAAGAAGTCTGAAAGGGCAAGAGCAAGGCTGTCAGGTGGATGGGGTAAGGCTTCCCAATGAAATTCTGCCCTAGAAAAAAAAGCAGAAGCGTTGTCCTGATGGAAAATAATCCCTCAGAACACCTTCCCTGGCCCCTTTCTCATCAGTGCAGTGTTCAATGTTCTTAACGCTTCGTCATGATAAGACCTGTGTGCCTTAGTTGATCAAGAGGACTTCTTTGGAACCCCCAAAGTGGTCCCCAGAACCTTCTGAGTGGATCGCTCTGCTTTGAATTTAACTGGCCCAACAGAGCCCGTTGACAGACACTGTTTTGATCGAACCTTTTTGTTAAAAGGCACTCGATTGAGACCAAGTCAAGTGTATGACTGAGAGCATTTGTCTGCAGCCATCCATGATCATGGAGACATATTTTAACCCATTGGGCTTGGAATAGACCCGTGCAGGCACGAACTGGAAACCTAGAAGCTATACTCTTTATTTATCCTTGTACAAGATCCCCTCTCAGAGAGAGAGTTACTGCTTTAGGCACCAAATATCAACTCATTTAATCTTTGCCATCCTCCGAGGTAGGGGATATTATCATCTCCATCGTTCTGATGGGAAAACAGAGGCTCAGTGAGATAAAGTCACACAGCTAATCATGGACAGACCTGGGATCTGAACCTCAACCAGGTGGTTTCAAAACTTGGCTTCGTAACCATCACTCTCCACACACCCACTCAAGGGCAGGGAGCAAATCTTTCCCTCTAACATATGCTACCTACTTGGAACAAAACCTAGCAGATGGTATCTAATCAGTCTATCGTCCACTGTTAACTAACATTAAAAAAAAATCATTGGCTTCATTTGTTTATTCATTCGCAGGAGCGGGGGTATGAGAGTGACAGGGTAGCCATTAATGGTGCTGTGGAATCGGTGGATGGGAGCAGATTTGGGGAGATACTGAGGTCGGCGTGAAGATCCTGGGGGAACACCCAAGCAGAGACAGCCAGGAGGTTTGGTTCTGAAGCTTAAAGGAAAGATGGAAAGATGGGCAGCAGTGGGGCAGAGTTGGGAACTGAGGTACAGGGTAGACAAAAAGATCCCTGCGAGGGGAATAAGGAGGCAAAGGAAAGGCCAGGGCCCAACCCCGGGGAGCCTCCATGTTTAAGAGCCAGGCAGGGAAAACACTAAGAAAGATTAAGGAGGAGCCGACCAGATTTGGAAAGGAAAAGTAGAGGGGATGTTGGCAGGGATGCCAAAGGCAACAGGTGGCACAAGAAGGAGGGGCCCCTTGCACATGCCAGCCTCTGCCAGCAGCGTTCTCCACACATCTGCCTGAACCCTGTAAGCCACCTGGTGCGAAGTTGCTATTACGCTTTCACGTGAGTGAACAAAAGCTCAATGGGATGTTAAACTCACTAACACTCCAGAGCTGCAGGTTCTGACCAGTTTGAATGAAGCAACAAAATCAAGATTGAGATAGAACCATCAGCGTATCCCTCTGCGGCCATCAGTGGTGGAGACTCGGAGGCCACCTGGTCTCCATCTCCAGGAAGGTCAAAGCGGGCAGTTAGAAGAGATGCAGCAATTAGAAGGGATGGACTGGCCATGTCCGCCAGGAAGCATGGTGGATCATAAAAGCAGGACGCTCGGTGAAAAGCACAAGAATCAAGAAGACCGAAGAAGATTTGATGCATCTGAATTACTGTGCTGGCCAAGGGTATGGAAGGTACCATGGACTGCTAACGGAACCAACCAGCTTGGGAGAAGTACAGCCAGAATGCTCCTAGAGGCAAGGACGGGGAGACTGTCTCATGGACTTTGGACATGTTGTCAGAAAAGAGCGGCCCCCGGAGAAGGAGAAGGTAACAAACACACAAGGGCAGTGAAAACGAGGAAGGCCTTCAACTCGATGGACTGATCCAGCGGATGATGTGGGACCGAGCCGTGTTCCATTCTGTTGTACAGAAGGTCGCTACCAGTTGGAACCACCTCACTAGCACCTCACAACAACAGCAGACAGACAGATGAGAAGAGGCGCAGGGAACTTGGTATGGTCCTGGGAATGTTCTCATCTCCACTGGTGTTTGACACTTAGGTGTCAAAACAAACTCCCAACAACCGTGAAGAAATGATCCCCAGGCATGATGTCGATGTTGATGTCGGCATCTTACTCTGAAAGACTCCAGAAAATTAGATGGGCTGATGGATGGACAGAGGACAGATCGAGAGACAGATAGGATTAAAACCAAGGGGAATGAAATCCTGATGTGAGCGTTTGGATGGCAAGTGTTATACGGGTGTTCCCTCAATAAGGCTTTCCCTTTTTCTGTATTTTTTAACTCTTAAAAAAGCAGCCATCTATCTCAGAAGCAACAGAGCCCACATGGAAGAACATATCAGCCTATGTGATCACAAGGTGTCGAAGGGATCACTGAAGACAGATGGGTGCATAAGCAAATGTGGCGAAGAAAGCTGATGGTGCCCGGCTATCAAAAGGTATAGCATCTGGGGTCTTAAAGGCTTGAAGGTAATCAAGCGGCCATCAAGCTCAGAAGCAACAAAGCCCACATGGAAGAAACACACCAGCCTATGTGATTACGAGGTGTCGAAGGGACCAGGTATCCAAGGCATCATCAGAACAAAAAATCTTACCATAGTGAATGATGGAGGGAGTGCAGAGTGGAGACCCAAAGCCCATTAGTAGGCCACTGGAGATCCCCTTGCAGAGAGGTCTTGGGGAAGAGATGAGCCAGTCAGGGTGCGATGTAGCAACGATGAAAAATACAACTTTCCTCTAGTTTCTAAATGCTTCCTCCCCACCCCCACTATCATGATCCGAATTCTACCTTGCAAGTCTGGCTGGACTAGAGGATGTACACTGGTACAGATAGGAACTTAAGATACAGGGAATCCAGGGCGGATGATCCCTTCAGGACCAGTGGTGTGAGTAGCGATACTGGGAGGGTAGAGGGAGAGTGGGTTGGAAAAAGGGAACCTATTATAAGGAACTATATGTGACCCCCTCCCTGGGGGATGGACAACAGAAAAGTGGGTGAAGGGAGACGTCGGACAGGGAAAGATATGATAAAATAATGTATAAATTATTAAGGGCTCATGAGGGAGGGGGGAGCGGGGAGGGAGGGGAAAATGAGGACCTAATGCTGGGGGCTTAAGTGGAGAGGAAATGTTTTGAGAATGAAGAGGGCAATGAATGTACAAATGTGCTTTACACAATTGATGTATGTATGGATTGTGCTAAGAGTTGTATGAGCCCCTAATAAAACGATTAAAAAATAAATAAAACGTTGGAAAAATGATGCCCCACCAACAGTATACACTTGCCCCCCAAATTATTTACCCCCCAAATTATTATAATAATAAAAAGATACAATTATATAGGATGGAGTGGTTGCCCACATTTGGGGTGGGAGTTAGAAATGGGATGAGGGATGAAGGAACACTGAGTTAAGGATGAAACAAATCCTGTTCTCACCAAACTCCTGTGGGGCTGGCACACACCGGGATGTCTGCATGGAAAGAGCTGATGGCCCAATCTCCTCTGAGTACTCTCATCACCAAGCCCCCCACCCCCTAAAATCCCCACAGGACCCATATTCCATTCAGGGACCTCTAGGGCCCTGCCTGCAGCATAGCCACATTTATCCAGATTGTAGGAAGTGGCAATCATTAGATATTTTGGCCATCTTACCTGCAGACACCTGCCACATACAAGCCCAGGATCTCTGCTCTACCTCCCCCCGCCCCCCACTCCCCACCAACCAGCCTAATGTCCCTACCTGCCCAGAGTCCATGGCTTCTGCCAGCCTCTCGGGGCTTAGTTCCAGTGAGGCCCTCGGATCCCTGACCAACGAGGTTAGCGCTTTCTAAAATGGGAGAAAAGGTGGATCAGGTGGGGGAGCCTGGTAGGCAGCCACACCCCCCTCCACCATCCTGCCCCTCCCTTACACAGAGCCAGGTGCTGGTCAGCGCCGTCATCTTCAGCTGCATGAGGACGTGGTCAGCAGAGCCAGGGGTCTCCAGAAGGCCTCGGGACAGGTCCACACAGCGCAGCATGGCATGGAGGTTCCCCTCATACCAGGCCTCACTGCCCACCAGCAGGTGTCAGGGCCTGAGCCTGCTCACCCCCTTCCTCCCATCCCCACGGCTTCCCCGGGTCCTGGCCCCTCCTCACCCAGTCTTGGCCGCTGAGTCTGGCTCCTCCTCGGTGGGCACCGCCAGCAGGGGCCGGAGGCACAGGCGCTGGAGCTGCTGGACACAGCCTTCCACCTCTCCTGCCGTCTCGCCGGCCACAAACTGCCCGTAGATGGACCCTCTGAGGAGTGCCCTGGAGAGCCAGGAGCCCAGGAGCCTCCGAGACCAGACCTGGAGCTGAGATGGCAGGGAACAAGCACTCAGAGCAGGGGCTCGGACTCTCCCGCCCCTCCTGGGGCCTCTGCTCACCGTCAGCCCGTGGGTGACCAGAGGAGGCCAGGCACAGAGCCGCAGCACCAGCAGGGCCCTCAGCAGCTCCCCAGTGCCTTTGAGGTTGAAAGCCCCACCATCGAAGTTCAAGGGCTGCCAGCCCCCAGCAGAGGGACCAGCCCGGGCGCGAAGCCCTCCACAGGTCCGGAACATCCCGAACCCCTTGTCGCTTCCACACCAGGAGAAGGGGCGCTGGAAGCGGTGGGGGGGCGGGAGTGTGTGTCACCGACTGTCTCTTGTTTGGCCAGTGACTGATTAACTGGACAGTGGACAGGGAAAGGTGAAATTTTAGGGTCACAGTTAATTATCGCTGGGGGGGGCAGTTAATTATTAACTGGTGAGGACAGAGTTCAGAGTAACTGGGACAGAGAAGGAAGCCCCCAGTGAGAGCCCGCCCCCTGACAACCCTCAGCTAGCGGCTTACATGGCTCTGGTGCCCGCTGGGGGCCGGGGTGCTGAGGGAGAATTGGGGCTCCGGAGCAGGGCTGTCTGGGCGCAAGACAGTTTGCTTTTGCGACCTTGAATTAGCTGCTGAAGCTGTGTTGCGGTTAGTTTATCCGCGGTGTCATTGAATAGCCTTGCAAAGATGTTCCATGCAGCCAGTAGCCCAGTTGTTCATGTGAGGGACCTTACACATGGACATGGGGACCCTGTTTTAAAGCGTGTCCCGAGAACCACCCAAGTCTCCATCAACAGAGGAATGCTGGCATGGTCAGCCCCCTCCTGGAACGCCGTAAAAAACATTGATCCCATTCCATCCCCGGTGCCTTGAAAAGTCAGGAAAACCAAACTCCAATCGAGGGTTAGGGAGTGAGTTAGTTAATTGTGCCAACCTGGCTGATAATCACATGTGGGGCTAATTGAAAGGCGGAGGGATAAATGGGTGGTGAGCCTCGCCTTTCGAGTTCTCGGGTCTCTTGCTTTGTGATGGTTTGCACCGGGTGCAGCTGCCTTAGCAGTTCCCTGCTTCAGCTTGCAAGATTGACTTCCTACAAGACATCCCCAAGGAGAAGCTACATGGAACTATCCTGATGCAGCCCTGGATGCTGGAGCAGCCTTGTGGAGACCCCTGCTAGTGCTGAGATGCTTATTCGTTCACTGACTCAGCTTTCCTCCTGCAGTCGGCATCATTGCCTCTGTTTTGTGAGGTGGAGGACTTTGTGGACCGGTGTTGGGTTAATGGGTTAATGTTGGACTTGTGGGCTTGGGCAGCATTGGGTTGGGATGTTTTCGTGATGCACATTTTCTTTGCATAAAACTCTCTCTTATACATGAGTTGCTGTGGATTTGTTTCTCCAAAGTACCCAGACTAATACAGGGAGACACACCCTCTTTCCCTCAGGGAGGTGGATACCTCCAAGCAGAGGTCTCCACGGAGGGGCATATGAGGCTTCCATGTCTTCCTTAACCTGGATGATGAGTTACAGTTGCTTGTACTATAAGTATTTCTTTGTATTATAAGTATTTTCAAATCACATGTCTGTGCTTTAGACACTACTGAGTGGACAGCCCATTTTACAATAATAGAAATGGGAAAATCAATCACAATCCCAGCTTCATAGGGTGTACGAGGATCCAGCGAGTTAATGGAAACTCACGGTCTGGTACACAGGAGGTACTGGTGATGCGCCTTTAGAAGAGTGCATGGTGGATCAGGCCTTGGGCTACGACCCACAAGGTTGGCGGTTCAAAGCCACCCTGGGGGAAAGAGGAGGTGGTCTACTCCCCTAAAGACTGATTGTTGCAGAAACACTATCTACGGTCACTAGACGTTGGGATCAAGTTGACGGCAGTGGGCTGTGATCCCTAAGTGCTGTGTCTGTCCATCCTCCTTCATGCCCGCCCTGCTCACGAGATGGGCCCCACTGATCCCCGCCCTGCCCCCAAACTGTTTAATGTTAAAAGCGACAACTTCTAAACTTATACAGCCACTCAAGGGTTAAGTCCCTCAGATCCCAGCCCTCCTCAGACTTTCAAAAACCCGTACTGTGATGAAATACATATCCCTACAGTTCTCATTTCCAGCATTTTGATGCGTACAATTTGTGACGTGAATCACACCCACCATGTTGTGTAACCATCCTCACTATCCATGTCCAAATGTTTTCCATCACTTTCAACACCCTCTCCTTCCAGTCTCCCCACCACTGCCTCCCCCGGGAGCCATTGATAACCTCTGATCTCTAGCACTTGCCTGGGCTGGCCATTTCGTGTGAGGGGGGTTGTGTAAACGGTGCGATGGCCACAGCTGACCTCCCCTGGCTTCCCCATTGCCATGGGCAGAGCTGGTGCCCACAGCATTCCTGCTCTTTTTCTCCGTCTGTTGAACGTATCAGAGCATCGTCCGTTCAAATTCCTTAGCAAATAGTTCCCGATACCTGGAACTTATTCCTCCGAAAGGACTCGCGGTCTTGCATTTGGTCACCTGTTTGCGCCACTCTGTCTCGTGTGGACGGGAATTGACTGTTGTCGCTGGGACCCTGTGGAGGTGGCGTCTATGTATTTCATTGGTGTTTGCTGATGTAGGAAGAGCCCTGGTGGCATAGCGGTTACACGTTGGGCTGCTAACCACAAGGTCAGCAGTTCGAAACCACCAGCTGCTCCTGGGGAGAAAGACAGGGCTTTCTACTCCCATAATGAGTAGTCTCAGAGACCTACAGAGGCCATTCTCCCTGATCCTGTAGGGTCATTACGACGCAGCATCGACTTGCGAGCAATGAGTGAGTCTGTAGGTGTCCACCGTGTCCTCCTGGTGAGTGTGACCGGGAACAGGCGTGGGTGTGCAGTTCTGTTAGTCGTGAGCACGCTGAGGGAGCGGCGTTTGTTCTGCTTCCTGTGGTTTCACAGGTGGTCCAGGAGGGAGCAGGGGCTCCGGGCTGCAGGAGGTACATGAGCACAGAGCTGCCTCCCAGCGAGTGGAACGAGAAAAAGAAAAGACGAGAGACAAAACAGAAAAAAACCCCAGAAAAATAATAATAAACGAGAAAACAAACAAACCGCAAGAAACAAAGGATTTGATATCTAAAAATCACTTTGAAAATGGGAAGAGAAAAAAGGGGGGTTGTGGAAAGAGTAAAAAAAATAGAGATAGTAAAGAAAAAACACGAAGGAGTAAAAAGAACAAAGATAGTAAAGGAAAAACACCGAAAAGTGGGTGAAGGGAGACGTCAGACAGGGCAAGATATGACAAAATACCCATTTATAAACTATCAAGGGCTCGTGAGGGAGGGGGGAGCGGGGAGGAAGGGGAAAAATGAGGACCTAATGTCGGGGGTTTAATGGAGAGAAAATGTTTTGAGAAATGATGTACAAATGCGCTTTACACAATTGATGTGTGTATGGATTGGCATAACAGTTGTATGAGCCCCTAATAATAAAATGTTAAAAAGAAAAGAAAAGAATAAAGATAGTAAAGGAAAAACACGAAGGAGTGAAAAGAACAGAGATAGTAAAGAAAAACTAAGCTTTACAAAAAGCAAAGGGGGGATGAAAGAGAAATAGAATGAGAAAAGAAAACTGGGAGGCTGCGTGCGGCAGACAGGCTGCAAACCAAGGCAAGGGAGAGATCTGGGCCAGGGACAGAGTCCAGAGGGGAGAGAACTGTTCGGGCAGGTCACCCGGTGTCGATCAGCGCCTGGGCCAGCCAGAGAGCTCACGGGGTGTGCCAACAGTGGGGAAGAGGTGGGCTGTCCAGTCTTAGACTTTCTGCTGACCCTCAGTGAGGTCAAGGCATCGGATCCAGAAGGATGGCTGAGGTCAGGGAGCTTGTTACCACAGGAACCTGGTTCTGCATGTTCTGCTGGTCTGACGCAGCAGAATTCTTGCACCTCCAGATTCCAGGATTGTGTGCACCTGGTGCCCGATCCCCCAGGGTGCAACCCCAAGGGCAGGTGGAGCATGGGGTATTATGCAGGGAGTGGCTGAGGGTGAGAGTAGGGGCTGACCATGCTTCTGGCCACCAGGAGGGTGGGGACAGGGGAGCAAAGACAGGATTGTACCTTGCTGGTCATCAGCCACTGCTGTGGGCCTTTGGGCTGTCAGGTCACTGTTCAGATTGAACATTTCTGGCAAACATTCAAGATGGCCTCCCTATGTCCGGCCCGCTAACAATCCACTCATCCGTTCCCTCTCCGCGCTCACCTCTTTTGTGCACCTTTTAATCTTATTCAACATACAAGCCACCTCTCGGTCCAGTCCTGGTTCCAGGACAGTCCTTCACGTTGGCTTCATTTGGGTCACTCATATCTTTGCGGTAGTGGGTCTCCAGAGCATGTCTGCCTGGTCTGCCATCTTGCCAGAAGTCTTGGTTAGGTGGTATCTTCATTTGCCTACAGTTCTGGGTCTTTTTCATTCCCACTCGGAGCTATTTTTCTCAACTGGCTGAAAATGAGAATTCAAGCAGTAGATGTTGGGGTCGGGCAGCTCTGTGATACTGGGCTCCCAGGTGCTGTGGCACTGGGGTCTCCAATCCTGCCCAAGGAGCAGCCACGGACACGGGCCGAAGGCAAATCTCCACACGAGGAGAATGGACGACATCTGCTACTAGCCTCCTGGTACCGCTCTTCTGAACTTACCCTCAGATCAGTGCACATCCCTGAAGAACAAGAACATGTCCAACCTTCCCCATCACCCCTGAGATTCCGTCCAAATCTTGAGCTGAAACTCTCCCCTGAGGTCCCCTTTTAGCAAAACACAGGAGACAAACCATGCGTGTGTACGCCATGAAAAAAACATCTTTAGGAGACCAGAGTGCTCAACATTGGCCCCTCAGCAAAGACAAGGTTACCGGGAACCCAGAGTCCTGGAAGAGGAACCACCAGACACAGCTGAAGAGAACGTCCACACAGTGTGTACCATGTAGCGCATGCCACCCAGTAACGTGTGCAGCAACCATCCAATCAGTGTATGTAGTGCATGCTACCCAGTAACGTGTGCAGCAACCATCCAATCAGTGTGTACCATGTAACTCATGCCACCCAGTAACGTGTGCAGCAACCATCCAATCAGTGTGTACCATGTAGCGCATGC